TCCCTGCCCTGCTGCCCACGCTGCCTTTGTGGTCCTGCTGCACTTGCTTAAAAGGGATGATAAAAATCACGTTTAAAAGGGGAGAGAGATTTCAGCGCTCGGCCTTTCGCCTTCCAGTAACATTCACATTAAAGAAAGTTCTCCAGAGCTTGTGGGGTTTTTCTTTCTAATCTGGGATTATAAGAAATAAAAAGTTTCCCTGTTTCTGAGGAGTAAGATGGAGCTTCTTCCAACTTTTTGTAGGAGAGTTGTGGTTTCCACAAAGAGTTTTCATCTCCCAGCTGCCTGTGGGTTGTTCAGCTAAATAAACATTTCCACAGGAGACAAGACACATCTTTTAAGCAAGATGAAGGAGAAATCGAAACCTCGGGCTGTTGACACTTTGTTCTCCCCTCCAGCAGTGCCCAGTCACTGCCTGTCCTCCAGGAAAACTCAAACCTCCACAGGACCTGGCGTCCATCCCCCAGGGGCTCTCAGCCACCCTGCGAGGGACTCTCCTGACCCTGCTGACAGAATTCCTCTCATTAACTGCTCTGAGCCATTTTCTCCTTTTTTTCAAAGCAAGAAAGAAAAAGAAAAGAGGCAGCCTCTAGAACCACACAGCTTTTTACCACAGCAAGAGGAAAACAAACACATCTGCTCTGTTCCACCAGCCTTCTTAGATGTTACACCAAGAGTGGGGCCGGGGTCTGGTGCTCGTGCTCTCTGCCATCTCCTGGCAGAAGCCATTGGCCTCAAAGGTGTGCTCAAGCCTGGTGGCCACCACAGCTCCACAAAACCACAGTCTGGTAGTAGCCAGCCAAGCCCATAGCCACTGGCATGTGGGGAGTACCACAACCCAGTGGTCACCTCAGCTTTGTGGTGGCCACCTCAAGCTCCACAGCTGTTAATACCCGTTTGTCCCCACAGCCTAGCAGTGGCTGCCAACAATATCCTGTGACCACCAGAACCCAGTGGCAGCCACCGCAGCTCTGTGGTCACCTCAGCCTGGTGATGGCCACCTCAAGCCCAGTGGCCACTGATGCCTGATGGTCACCTCAGCCTGGCACCAGCTATCTCAGCCCCCATGGTCACCTCAAGCCCAGTGACCACTGATGCCTCATGGTCACCTCAGCCTGGCCACAGCCATCTCGACATCAGTGGCCACCTAAGTATGCAAGGTGCTCCACTCAGCCCAGCAGTGGCTACCTCAATGCCCAATGGCTACCTCAACTCCTGTGGCCACTGATGCTAGAGTCATCTCAACCCTGACAGCCACCTCACCCGTGTGGCCACCACTGCCTGGTGGTCACCTCAGCCTGGCCACAGCCACCTCAGCCCCAGTAGCCACCTCAACCCTAGTGGCCAATTCAACCCTGACGGCCACAAATACGTGGCAGTCCCCTCAGCCCAGCAGTAACCACCTCAACCCCAGCAGCCACCTCAACCCTGATGGCCATTAATGCCTGGTGCTCTCTTAAGCCCAGTAGTGGCCACCTCAGCCCTGGTGACCACCTCAACCCCAGTGACCACCACTGTGTGGCAGTGACCTGAACCCCAGCGACCACTTCAAGCCCAGTAGCCACCTGAGAGCCCTTATCCCAGTAGTGGCCACCTCAACCCCTGTGCCCATAGCCGCCTGGAGGTTATCTCAACCCCAGTGGCGACCTCAAAACCCTGACGGCCACTAATACCTGGTGCTCCCTTAAGCCGAGTAGTGGCCACCAGAGCCTTGGGGACCACCTCAATACCCACTTGCCACATCCAACACA